TGTTATTTCTCTTCAGTCATATTTATCTTTTTTATAAAATAGGCCCTGAGTATGGAAATTGGAAGAATTTCCCTCATAATTTAAAGCAGCACCTACCTCTGCCAGTTGTGACTAGGAGATTAAATTCCAAGCTGGCCAAGCAGGAGGATGCCTGAATCAACTGGCTCTGTCATGCAGGCATGGGTGATGCCATCTCCTGCCCAGCTGTTAATGAGCCTGGTGCTGCCAGACGAGGGCGAGGCTGTCATCTGCTGCTGAGGCAGGTGAAGGGAGAGGCATCTTCAAGGTGACCCCATGGGGCTGGTCCCAGAGGCAGGTTCTGTGTGCTGTGAAGGGCAGGCACACACACACACACAGACACATACATCCAACTCTAAATTTGCAATCTAAGCACCTGCAGCCCTGCCATGGCCAGGTGTCATGGGGGATCATGGGGTGACCAATGTGTCCCAAACCACTGCAACATCTGGGGTCAGAAGACATTCCAGAGCCCCATTGGGGACAGAAATTTTGGAGCCAGCCCCCTCTTCTACAGCAGTGTGACCCCTACACATGTGAACCCCACACACCACCCTTCCTAAGACAGGGTGGTGTCCCTGACCCTCCCAAGTCCTGCCCTGGGCTCTGAAGGTGAGAGGCTACATGACTGAGAGAAATCAGAGTGGCCATTGGCTCAGGAGTGGTAGCAGGGAGGACCGGGATCATGCTAGATGAGTGGCATCCATAAGCACCATTTCATAGCTGGCTCTAGCCAGTTGTAGCCACAGCATGGAGTGCTGTGTTGAGAAGGATGCTGAGGCTGCCTTCTGAGCTGAACTGGAAAGAGAACCATGGTGGATTAGTAATATCTGCCATTGGCATAGACTTAGAAAGTGGTGGCAGGTATGCTATAGATTCACCAGCCAAGGACTAGATTTCTCCTCAGTTGGAGTCAAACGAGGCAATTTAAACCGATTCTATTTGCCTGCAAAAAAAAGATGGAGGAGAGCTTCATCTTGCCACATTTTCTCTGTGAGTCTTGAAGAAAAATGACAAACTTTAGTTTATAGTAGCCAAGGGAATAAAAATGAGAGGTTGGCATTTCATCCAAAACTCAAGCTGTCACAATCAGTCAAAAAATAGAGAAGAAACTGAATTCTAGCCTAATGAAGAGACAGACACAAAGCCAACTAAGTCCTCTGCAGTTCACTCAGTCATCCAACAAATATTTAATGAGCACCCATTATTTGCCCAGCACCTGGCTGGGTGCTGCAGATTCATGCAATGAAAAAGTCAGGACAAGGCCGGGTGCAATGGCTCATGCCCGTAATCCCAGCACTTTCAGAGGCCAAGGTGGGCGAATCAGCTGAAGTCGGGAGTTCAACACCAGCCTGACTAACATGGGGAAAACCCATCTCTACTAAAAATACAAAATCAGCCAGGCATGGTAGCAGATGCCTGTAATCCCAGCTACTCAAGAAGCTGAGGCAGGAAAATTGCTTGAACCCGGGAGGTGGAGGCTGCAGTGAACCAAGATTGTGCCATTGCACTCCAGCCTGGGCAACAAGAGCAAAACTCCATCTCAAAAAAACAAAAAAAGGGTCAGGACAGATGGGATATCTGCCTTCAAGGATCTAACAATCTAATGAGATGGACAGGGAATCCAAAGACATCATAATGTAATAGACACATAAACAAATAAATAAGCAGGATGTTCAGGGGTTGTGATGACTGCTGTCCAAAAAAAATACATGGAGTGATACATAGTGGGGTGGAGGTCAGTCAGGAGTAACCTCTCTGAGGAGGTGACTTTTAAGGAAAGATCTAAAGGATAAGAAAGAGGCAGCTGTGCACCATGTACTTTGCGGGACTATAATGAATAATACTCATGAATATTCATGTACAAATTTTTGTGTGGACTTATGTTTTCATTTTTCTTGGGTATGTGCCTAGGAGTGCAATCGCTGGATCATGTGATAATTATGTTCAACCATCTGAGAACTGCCAGTTGGTGTTCACAAAGCAGCTGTACCATTTTACATTCCCACAAGCAGTTTATAAGGGTTTCTGTTTCTCCACATCCTCACCAACACTTGGCATTATCAGTCTTTTTGATGATAGCCATCCTACTGCGTGTGAAATGGTATCTCATTGCGGTTTTGATTTGCATTTCTCTGTTGGCTAATGATATCGGGCAACTTCTCATGTGCTTATTGGCCAATTGTATCTTCTTTAGAGAAATGTCCATTCACATCTTTTGCCAATTTTTAATTGGCTTGTCTTTTTATTATTGAGTTGTAATAGCTCTTTACATATTCTAGGTACAAGTCCCTTATGAGATAATTTTGATGTTTATTTTTCTTTTGCTTCTTGTGCTTTTGGTGTCATTAATAATCATTTGCCAAATCCAAAATCATGACAACTTACCCCTATGTTTTCATCTAAGAGTTTTATAGTTTTAGGTCATACATTTAGGTCTTTAATCTATTTTGAGTTAATTTTTGTATTTTATGTAGGGAATGCAACTTCATTCTTTCGAATGTAAGCATTCATTTGTCCTAACATCATTTGTTGAAAAGACTATTCTTTCTTCCAGTTACTTCTCTTGGCACCCTTGCTGAAAATCCACTGACCACAAACGTGAGGTTTTGTTTCTGAACTCTCAATTCTAGTCCGTTTATTCATATGGCTATCTCCATGCCAATACTATACTATCTTGATCATAGTAGCTCTGTAGTAAGTTTTGAAATCAGGAAATGTGTCCCCTCCAACATTGTCCTTTTGAGGTTATTTTAGCTATGTTTGGTCCCTTGAATTTTTATGTGAATTTTAAGATCAGTTTAAGGTCATTTGTTTCTGCAATGAATGCTGGGACTTTTGAAGGTATTGAATTTTTAGATGAATTTGGGGAGTATTGTCATCTTAACAATATTTAGTCTTTTGAAACATGAACAATGGGATGTCTTTCTATTTATTTGGGTCTTTAATTTTTTTAAAAAATGTTTTAGAGTTTTAAGAATATAAGTTTGTACTTTTTTTTTTTTCTTTTGAGACGGAGTCTCACTCTGTCGCTCAGGCTGAAGTGCAGGGGTGCGATCCTGGCTCACTGCAACCTCTGCCTCCCGGGTTCAAGTGATTCTCCAGCCTAGCCTCCTGAGTAACTGGGATTACACACCTCTGCCACCACGCCTAGCTAATTTTATTTGTATTTGTATTAGAGACGAGATTTCACCATGTTGACCAGGCTGGTTTTGAACTCCTGACCTCAGGTGATCCACCGGCCACAGCCTCCCAAAGTGTTAGGATTATAGGTATGAGCTACAGTGCCCAGCCTAAGTTTTGTATTTCTTTTGTTAAATTTACTCCTATTTCATTTGTAATTTCATTTTAGATTTGGTCATTGCTACCATATAAGTATACTATTGATTTTTATATATCGGTCTTGTATCCTGCAACCTTACTGAATTTATTAGTTCTAATATTTTTTAATGAATTTCTTAGGATTTTTTATATACAAGATTATGTCATCTGTAAATGTAGTTTTACTTCTTCCTTTACAATATGGATGCCTTTTATTTCATTTTCTTGACTAAATTGTCCTGACTAGAATCTCCAATATAATGTTGACTGGAAGTGGCAAAAGTGAACATTCTTGTCTATTTCTTGATCTTAGGGAAAAGGTTTTAGTCTTTTACCATTAAGCACCATGTTATCTGTGGGTTTTTCATAAATGCCCTTTATCAGGTTGAGGAGGTTCCCTTCTATTTTTAGTTTGTTGAGTGTTGTTATCAAGAAGGAGAATTTAACTTTGTCATGTTTCTTATCTGTTTTGATCACGTGGTTTTTGTCCTAAAGTCTATTGATGTGGTGTAATACATTAATTGATTTGTGGATATTAAACCAATCTTGCATTCCCGGGATAAATCTTATCTAGTCCTTGTATATAATCCTTTTTATGTATTATTGGATCCAATTCACTAGTATTTTGTTGGGGATTTTTGCATCTATATTCCTAGGAGATACTGTTCTATACTTTTTTTTTTGAATCTTGCTCTGTCATCAGGCTGGAGTGCAGTGGCATGATCTCAGCTCAAGGCAACCTCCGCCTCCTGGGTTCAAGTGATTCCCCTGCCACAGCCTCCCGAGTAGCTGGGACTACAGGCAACGCATCACCATGCCTGGCTAATTTTTGTATTTTAGTAGAGACAGATTTCACCATGTTGGCCAGGATGGTCTCAATCTCCTGACCTCACAATCCGCTTGCCTCGGCCTCCCAACGTGCTGGGATTACAGGCATGAGCCACCTCGCCCTGCCTAATTTTCTTTTCTTGTAATGTCTTTGTCTAGTTTTGGTATCAAGAAAATGCTGGCCTTACAGAATGAGTTGATAAGCATTCCCTCCTCTTATATTTTTTAGAAAAGTTTATGGGAATTGGTATTATTTCCTTTTTAGCTTTTTCTGTTGTGATAAAATATGTAAGACATTTTCTCATTTTAACTATTTTTAAGTATAAGTTTGGTGGTATTAAGTACATTCACACTGTTGTGCAACCATCAATGCTATCCATCTCCAGAACCCTTCTCATCATCCCAAACTGAAATCTGTATGCATTAAAGTTATTAGTTCTTCTGTAAATTTTTGGTAGAATCCTCCAATGAAGGTAACTGCTTCGGGGATTTTCTTTCTGGAAAAAGAAGCTGAAAAGTTTCTCATGTTACTCATTCAATCTCTTTGCTTCTGTAGGCCAATTCAGAGTTTCTTTTTAAGTCTTTTTCCTTAGTTTTGTGTATTTCTAAGAATTTGCACATTTTATCCAGGTAATCCAATTTGTTGGCATACAGTTGTTCACAGTATTCCCTGATGATACTATGATAATTCTTATTTCGGTAAGGTCTTATTTCTGCAAAGTCTGTAGTAGCACCTGTAGCTGGGACCACAGGTGTGTGCCACCACACCTGGCTAATTTTTTGTACTTTTAGTAAACATGGAGTTTCACCATATTGGCCAGGCTGGTCTTGAACTCCTGGCCTCAAGTGATCCACCCGCCTCAGTCTCCCAAAGTACTGGGATTACAGGTGTGAGCCACCACGCCCAGCCAAATTTGTTAATCTTTTTAAAGAACCAACTTCTGGGCTGGGCGTGATGGCTCACCTGTGGTCCCAATTACTCGGAGGCTGAGGCAAGAGAATCACTTGAACCTGGGAGGCAGAAGTTGCAATGAGCCAAGATTGCGCCACTGATCTCCGGGCTGGGAGACAATACAAGACTCTCTCAAAAAAAAAAAAGAACCAACTTCTGGTTTTATTGGCTTTCTCTATTGTTTTTCTACTCTTTATTTCACTAATTTCCACTCTAATCTTTATTATTTCCTTCCCTCTGCCCACTTCAGATTTAGTTTGCCCTTTTCTTCCCAGTATGTTAAGGTAGAAGGTTAGGTTGTTGATTTGAGATCTTTTTTCCTTTTTAATATAGACATTTACATATATAAATTTCCCTCTAAACACTGCATTAGCTGTATCCTGCAAGTTGTTTTTTTGTTTGTTTTGGGGGGGAGTTGTTTTTTTGTTTTTGAGATACAGTTTCACTCATGTTGCCCAGGCTAGAGTGCAGTGGCACAATCTTGGCTCACTGCAACCTCCACCTCCCAGGTTCAAGTAATTCTCCTGCCTCAGCCTCCCAAGTAGCTGGGATTACAGCTGCCCGCTACCACGCTCAGGTAATTTGTTTTTGTATTTTAGTAGAGATGGGATTTCACTGTCTTGGTCAGGTTGGTCTCAAACTCCTGACCTTAAGTGATCCGCCCACCTCTGCCTCCCAAAGAGCTGGGATTACAGGCGTGAGCCACTCACTGCACCCCGCCTGCATCCCGCAAGTTTTGGTGCAATGTCATTTTAACTTCTCCCAAAGCATTTCCTAATTTCCTTTTGCTTTTCTCTTTCCTTGACTATTAGTATGCTGTTTAATTTCCATGTATTTGTGAATTTCACAAATTTATTTTTGTTATTAATTTCCAATTTTATTTTAACCAGAAACATACTTTGTACAATTTCAATCACTTTTAAATCTATTGAGGCTTGTTGTATGGCCTATCATATGGCCTATCCTTCAAAATGTTCCACATGCGCTTCAGAAGCATGTTCTGCTGCTGTGAAGTGTTCTATAGATGTCTGTTAGGTCTAGTTTGCGAATAATGTTGTTCTAATCATGTATTTCCTTATTGATCTCTGTCTAGTTTCTCTATACCCTACTAAAAACAATATTGGAGTCCCGACCTATTATTGTTTTATTGTCTGTATTTTCTCTCAATTTGTTAAACTTTGCTTCATGAACTTGGGGACTCTATTGTTAGATGCATATATGTTTATAATTGTTATAACTTCCTGGTGGATTAATTCTTTATCACTACAAAATGACCCTCTTATCTCTAGTAGCACGTTTTGCCTTAAAGTCTATTTTTTCTGATTTTATTATGGCCACAGCAGCATTCTTATTATTGCAATTTGCATGGCATATCTTTCTCCATCCTTTTATTTTCAACCTATTTGTATCTGGTTCACAAGTGAGACTCAGAGACAGTATATAGTTCGATTTTGTTTTTTACCCAGTCTGACAATCTCTTCCTTTTGGGATTATTTAAGCGATCACATTTAATGTTATTCATACAGTTGGATTTACATCTGCCATTTTGCTTTTTGTCTTGTATATGTCTCATGTCTTTTTTTGTTCCTCTATTTCTCCTTTTTGCTTTAAGTGAATATTTTCTAATGTAATATTTTAATTTATTTAATGATTTTTTTTCACTATATTTGAGTTATGTTCTTAATGGTTGCTCTGGGGCTTGCCATATACATCTTAACTCACCAGAATCTACTTGATATTTATACTAACTTCATTCCAGTGAGAATTAAGTTACTCTAGTTACTCCTATATAACTCTATTCCCTCATCCCCCTTTTTGTGCTATCTTTATTATATAGCAGAAAACTTCTTATCCAGCTCCTTATGGTTTAGTGGGGAGACCAAGGCCCAGAGAGGGTCTGGCTTGGCTATGTACTGGCTGGCTGACCACAGATGAGTCACTTAAAATTCTTTGAGCCTCAGTGTCCTTACCTATAAAATGGGGAGAATTGGATGAAACAGCTCCAAGAATGAAATGAGCTCTTATCACTTATCCTACACATAGTAGGAGCCCTGAAAACAGTAGCCTGTGTTTGGCCCTCAAAGAATTCCAGGAATTTTTATATCCCTCTGTTCATTAAAAGGCCATATTTGCAAAGCAACCCCCAAATGCAGAAGTAGCTAAGAAGCCAGAGTGAGGCAGACAAATCCAATTTTTCGGCACAGAGTGATTTATCTGGGGAACTTAAGGATGGAAGTGTAGTGTTGAACAGCAAAACAGGCAGTTCTTCACACTATTACTCCCCAGACCCAGGGCTTATATATCACAGGGAAAGAGTATACATGCTCTGTGCAAGACAGTTAATGGCAGCCCTCCAGAACAGGCAAGAACGCTATATGTGTCATAACCTATAATTTGTGCAATAACATCAAGGTTTACATGTTCTTATGCTAAGGACAGTAAACAAAGTGAGAATCAGGAGGTTTTCACAGGACTGGGGCTAATCAGTAGTGAACATGGTGGATTAGCATCTGTATTAGTCCACTGTCACATTGCTATGAAGAAATACCTGAGGCTGAGTAATTTATAAAGAAAAGGGGTTTAATTGACTCACAGTTCCACATAGCTGGGGAGACCTCAAGAAACTTACTATCATGGTGGAAGGCACCTCTTCACAGGGTGACAGGAGAGAAAATGAGTGCAAGCAGGGGAAATGTCAGACACTTATAAAACCCATCAGATCTCAAGATAAATCACTCATTATCACAAGAACAGCATGGGAGAAACCACCCCATGATTCAATTGCCTCCACCTGTTCCTGCCCTTAACACGTGGGGATTATGGGGATTACAAAGGTGAGATTTGGGTGAGGACACAGAGCCAAACCATATCAGCATCCAAGATGGAGTCACTTTTGTCTCCACATCCCACATTCTCACATCGGAGAGTCAGGAGGCATGCATGTTCAACCAAAGTCTTAGGATGCTCCCTCTTTCCAGTGCACGCCTCTCCACAGGAGCACCTTACAGTGAACTTCAGCTAAATGCTTGGCTCTCAGGGTGGGATGACATACTGGCCCAGACAGAAAGGCCCCCATGCCAGTCCCTCCTGAGGAGGGCCAGTAGACTGCAAGCGCCACCAGCATGGGCCAGACCTGCCCCAAGGGTATGTTTCTAGCCCCAGCTAAGGTCCAGTGCTTTACCACCTGTCCCTGCCATAGGTTGAGTGTGGTTGAGGCTTTGGGGTCAGTGCTAGAAAGGTATGGGAGGGCGAAGCAATCACAGCTGAGTGTCATGCCTCTGATTGGTAGATGGCCAGGCCCTCACCTGGGAAAAAAAGCCTTCCTACAGCTACTCAGGCATGTGGCCTGCCGTACTCTGCTTGATTACCACCTGAGGCATCTCAAGACCTCCCTGTCATTTCCCCATCTGGTCTCAAGACTAGAGTCCCTCACTCAGTACGTGCATTAGGCACCTTTGGTGTGCCTAGCCCCATTGCTGAGTTTAAGGACATGGAGAATGGTCAGACACAAGCCCTGGAAACCAGACATGATCGTATGTAACAAATGCAAAGCTGGGGCTTGAACATGGGCTCAGGGAGAATGTGCTAGGAGACCCCTCTCAGAATAGAGCCCAGAAAAGATCTGAACTTCCCGGTGCTTGCCTATGACTCTGTGGATCATTGGATGTCTGAAGCTGGCTCCCTACTGCTGTCCAGAGATCCGGCTGGCAGCCTCAGGAAGGGCTCACACTGAGGGCAGAAGATGCTGGAGAGTGAGCACTGGACTTCGAAGCCAGATCTGGATTCCAGCTTGGCTCTGCCATGGAGTAACTGAGTGACCATGGGCCAGTCCCTTACCGGTGCTGAGTCGCAGTCCGTGCATCTGTGAAAGGAAAAAGCTGCATCCTGAGTTACAGGGCTGAGTTGAAGGGAATTCAATGACACTCCAAGACACTTACCAATGATTAGCTGACTGTCCAAGTGAGGCAGTGGGTGCCCATGGCTGCCCCTAGCTGACTCTGACTCCTCCCCAGGACCCCAGCTCTCAAGGCCCCATCATCTTTTCCAGTGGGAAGACTAAGTCACCCATGCCCAGGAGCTTATTTCATTAGGACTCTCAAGGATCCAGCTGTTAGTCCTGGAGGAGGTTCCTGCACTCTCTCCTTGCTCCCGCCATACCACATCCTCCCTAGAGGTCCCCTCCACCCCTCTGTGCCTTTGTCCTGCCTGGAATGCTTCTCCCCACCTTCCTTGAGTTAACTCATCCTCACCCTCCAAGATTACCTCAGCCTCGCCTCTTCTGGGAAACCTTCTCTGATCTGATCCAACCCCCTGACATATCTGGGTCAATTTCAGCCCACAGTCCCACCTGCCCAAGGCCAGCAGAATCATTCCTCATACCCTGTTCCCCTGTGCATCCCCCCACCACTTCCTAAGACATTAGTAAAATCGTGTTGACCTTTCAACTTCATGTCTTGGTGGAGTCCTTGTCCCTCTCTAAGAGTCATGGATTCAAGCCTCAGCTCTACCACTAATTTGCTGTGTGACCTTGGCCAAGTCCACTGCCTTCTCTGAGTTTCACTTTTCCTATCTGTGAGATAGTTCAGCTTGCAAGCAGAGGCTTCAGAGGAGAGAAGGGCAGTCAGCCCTCACTACCAGAGGCTCCTACAGGCAGCAGGGTGAGTTGCTGCTCTCCTCCTTCTTCCTCCCAGGAGCAGCCAGGATAGAATCCAGGGGCCTGAGCCCAGACTGTCCTCCATTTATTTAGGGATCAACAGCTCCCAGGGCATCAGGGGCAGAGGAGGAAGGGGTGTGGCAGGCCCTGGCTCCAGCTCAGTGTCCTCTCTCTCTGTCCACAGTAGCACGGTACAACCGCACCAGCTACTTCTACCCCACATTCTCAGAGAGCTCAGAGCACAGCCATCTGCTCGTGTCCCCCGTGCTGGTGGCGAGCGCTGTCATAGGTGTGGTCATCATCCTCTCCTGTATCACCATCATCGTGGGCAGCATCCGCAGGGACAGGCAGGCCCGGCTTCAGCGGCACCGCCACCGCCACCACCACCACCACCACCATCACCACCGCCGGCGTCGACACCGAGAGTACGAGCACGGCTACGGTGAGCTGCTGCCCACCCTGGGGCCCTGGGACTTCATCTGATTGCAGTTGCAACTCAGGAAGCCTCAAGGAGTTGGCAGTTCTGCCCTGGGTAGAACAGGGTGGTCGGGAAGGCATCCTAGAAGTCTTGGGCTATGGTAAGCACTCATGGGTGCCTACCATAATGTTCTCTGTGGCATGAGAGGCCCAGTTGACTGCTAAGAAAGAAACTCAGAGTGAGGCTGAAGGTCAGAGGGAGAGTGTGTCACTCCTCCCCTGCCACTGTTGGTCCAGGCTGTACCAACGGCTGGTCTAGCTGGTGCCTGAATGGATGGATGGATGGATGGATGGATGGATGGATGGATGGATGGATGGTGAGATGGGTGGAGAGATGGGTAGATGGGTGGATGAATGGAGAGAGGAATGGATGGATGGGAAGGGTGAAGGACTCATAGGGAAATGGATGGGTGAGGAGTGAAGCGATAGATTAATGGAGGTTGAGTGGAAGGGTCAGTAGATGGATGGAGAGATGGATGGGTGGAGAGTATGGATGGATAAATGGGTAGATGAAATAATGGATGAATGAGAAAATGGAGGGATGGATAGATGGGTGGACTGAGTGTTATGCCTGAGTGGATGGATGCAAGGGAGGGCTGGGTGGAGGAACAGAAAGATAAACAGGTGGGCAGTGGGATGGGTTGATGGGGGGGTTAGTATATGAATAAGTGAATGGGTGAACTGACGGAATGAATGATGAGTGAATAAAGCTATCCCTGGTGAGAGCTGGCAGAGCACAAATAGAACTGATCTGAGGGTCTCCCAGTTGTTGGGATCACCTTTAATCAGAGTTGGTGGCTAATTCATGGGTGACCAGTCCCAAAACTGTGCATGTGGCCAGAATGCCTGAACTTTTTGCAGAACGTAGCCACCTGACTGTCACTCCAGGGGCCAGCTGTCTAAGGCATCAGGAAAAAATTCAATAGATTCCATTCTCGGACAATTTTCAATGGCAGGAAAAGCCAGACTCTTCCTACCCAAACCTCCATCCACAGGCCTTCAGGGGCTTCTGCCTGGGTCCAAGGCCACCACCAGATAGGAAAAATAAAAGCAGGACCTTGGAGGTGCTTAACAGCAATAGCCACCCTTCACACTGGGGGTGAACTGATGCCAGCCTTCTGGGAGCCAGAGCCCTGGCCAGACCTGAGGCATTTCCCCCTCTAGGGCAGGAAGAGCTTGGGGAAAATGGAAACTTTTTTTTTTTTTTGAGATGGAGTTTCACTCTTGTTGCCCAGGCTGGAGTGCAATGGCGCAATCCCAGCTCACCACAATCTCCACCTCCCAGGTTCAAGTGATTCTCCTGCCTCAGCCTCCCAAGTAGCTGGGATTACAAGCACATGCCACCACACGTGGCTAATTTTGTATTTTTAATAGAGACAGAGTTTCACCATGTTGGTCAGACTGGTCTCAAACTCCCAACCTCAGGTGATCCGCCCGCCTCGGCCTCCCAAAGTTCTGGGATTACAGGTGTGAGCCACCACACCTGACAGAAAGGAAACATTTTTGAAATAGATTAAATTGGATCTGAACAGCCCTGGCCTTTGGGGACCCTCTTCCCCTTCCCAGACACACCCTGATTAGCCAGCAGGTTTGGGGCATTTCCTGTCCCTTTTCACAGAGTTAACTGGTTAAGGAGGGGATTAAGGGGTAGCTGGAGTTGGTGAACAGAAGCCTGGTAGTAGTGGCCAATGCATAAGGAGTGCTTGCTGGGTGCCTGGCACTGTTTGTGCATAATCTCACGGTGCAAAATCCTCACCATAGTCCTGGTGGGATGATAAAAGTCCTACCTTCTATCATCATCCCAACTGACAGATCAGAAAGTTGAGGCTGGAGTGATTAACAGGTGGGATCACCCAGCCAGCAAGTTGTGGATCCCAGACTTGAGCCCAGGCAGTCTGATCTGGTGCCCACAGGCTGCCAGTTGCCCAGCACTGCCCGAGAAGGGAGCTGGAGGTGTCAGGGAGATGCCCCTGGGAGCCACCCCATGGGTTCAAGGCAGTGTCCGTCAGACATGCACATGGCTACAGTGGGTGTCACTCAGACCTGGATGTCACTCCCCTGGGAAAACTGTTAGGAGAACCAGAAGAGCAGGAGGCTGGATCTTATGCAAGACACAGAGGGACATCCAGGATGAGTCAGGGGACAAGTAGCCACAGTTGAGGAAAGAACAGCAGGCTAGCAGACTGTTCTCACTGCCCAACAATGAGGATCGAAGAAACGGTTCAGTATGAATAAGACAGACGTGGAAAGCTCAGCACACACAATCTCTGCAAGTTTCCCCTAAGCCAGGGACTCCCCAAGGAGACAAGTCAGGAGCACTCCCTGGCCAGGACAGGACTGGCCCACCCTTGCATCACCAGCCTGAGCCTGGAGAGTCCAGGGCTCCTGCCCAGAGCATGCCTGTCTCCCCCAAGAGAAACCCAGAACCCCTAGCCCTGCAGGGTACTGGGCAGACCCAGGATGGTCAGCCTGCCACCTGCCCCTCAAACAGCCTGGCCCTTGCCCAGTTCCCGCCGCTCCTCTCCAAGCACCTGTCCATGCTCCTTCCAGCCTCTGCCCTTTGCCTGGGCTCTTCCCTCTGCCTTGACTGCCATTCCCTGTGCTTCTCCAACCAACAAAAGCCGTCCAGGCCCCGCTCAAGGCTGCCTCCTTAGGGGAGCTTGTGTGGCCTCTCCTCGCACCTACCAGACAGAGTTGAATGGGTGTCCCCCTTCTGTGTACATCCTTGGCACTGCACCCACTCCTCCCTCAGTGTCTCAGTCATGGGGTGATTGTGCTGCATCCAAGAGAGCAGGACCTGCAGGAGACTTGCCCCCACCCAGGCTTGGGCCTGGAGGAAGAACTCCATGGGCAAGGGTAGGAGCCACCACATTTTATCCTCATAGCAAAAGATGTAGTGGCCCCCTTTAAAGACTAGGAAACCGGCCAGGCATGGTGGCCCACGCCTGTAATCCTAGCACTTTGGGAAGCTGAGGCAGACAGATCACCTGAGGTCAGGAGTTCAAGACCAGCCTGGCCAACATGGTAAAACCTTGTCTCTACTAAAAATACAAAGTAGAGCTGAGCATGGCGGCACATGCCTCTGATCCCAGCTACTAAGGAGGCTGAGGCAGGAGAATCGCTTCAACCCGGGAGGCAGAGGTTGCAGTGAGCCAAGATCACACCACTGCACTCCAGCCTGGGTGAGAGAGCAAGACTCTGTCTCAAAAAATTAAAAATAAAGAAAGAATAGGAAACTGAGCTGGGTGCCATGGCTCACACCTGTAATTTCAACACTTTGGGAGGCAAGGTGGGAGGATCGCTTCAGACCAGGAGTTCGAGACCAGCCTGGGCAGCACAGCAAGACCTCATCTCTACAAAAAAAAAAGTAAAAATTATCAAGGTGTGGTGGCACATGCCTGTAGTCCCAGCTATTGAGGAAGCTAAGTCGGGAGGGCCCCTTGAGCCCAGGTCAAGGCTTCAGTGAGCTATGATCTCACTACACACCATGCTGGGTGACAGAACAGAGAGAGACCCTATCTCTAAAAAAGTAAGACTAGGAAACTGAGGCACAAAGAAGCAACTTGTTCAATGACTTACCTTGGAGCACATGCTAGGGTCTCACAGTAGTTCCCAAGCTGAGAGGCTGAGAGGTTGGCCTGGGTGTGGAGGAAAGAGATGGGCCTGGGGCCAAGCCAGCCCCTCTGAAGTCTGTGGTGGCTTCAGGACTGGTGCCAATGAATGAGGCCTCGGCTCTGTCCCTGGAGTGGGTGGGATGACTGAGGCCACAGCTCTGCCACGTGGAGTCAGGCTTTGGCTCCCACTGCAGCCTGTCATGGTGGTGACCCCTGTGGGGTTCCTGCCTCCCTGTCCCACTTCTGCTCTCAGCTCCAGCTTTGGCACCTCCTGGGACTTTAGCATGGAGCCCAGGGGTGCTGTTGCCCCACACCTTCCCCCAGCCTTCTGGAGGGTGTGCAGGGGCTGCTGGGAGCCTTGGGAGGATGCCAGGGAAGAGGGAAACACACTGTAAGCAACCATGGGAGAACACAAGAGCAGCATAGCCAGGTGCAGTGGCTCACACCTGTAATCACAGCACTTTGGGAGGCCAAAGCGGGAGGATGGATTGAGCTTGGAAGTTTGAGGCTGCAGTAAGCTATGATCACACCACTACACTCCAGCCTGGGCAACAGAGCAAGACCCAGTCTCTAAAATAAAAAAAAAAAAATGGAGGAGCAGTGCACCAGCAAGCCCCAACCTTTGGCACTGGGCCCCTTCCACCTGTCAGACATACCCACACCCTTCCGGCTCTGGTGACTGAAGCTCTCCTGGCCTCTCTCCCACCCCTCTGGCTGCAGATTCCTCTCCTCTGTCCCTTTATAGGTCAAGGTCCCTCATATCCCACACCTTGGTCCTAGTCCTCTCTCTACACCCACTCCCTGCTCTGTCTCATCAATCATCCATCATCCTCCCTTACCTGGCTCCAGCCCTCAGGCCAGCTCCAGAACTGCATGTCCAGATGTCCACTGGATATCGCCCCGTGAGGCCCCACAGGCACCTCAGGCTCAAGTGTCCACAGAGGCCTGATTTCCTGCTTCCTATGTGCATCCTCAGGAAAGTTGCCAAAACTCTCTGGGCCTCAGGCAAGTCATCTATAAAATGGGTAGAGGAGGATCCGCCTCAGAAAGTTACTGTGAGGACTAAACTGCCACAGCACCTGGCTGATGGGTAAATTCATGATCAGGAAATGTGGCCATCTCCATCTCTTTCTCCAAGAAAACCTGCTCCCAGGACACTGCACTAATGCCAGCTGTCCCTGCCTGGCACCTCCAAGGCATTGTCCACAAGGCAACCAAAGTGACAGGGCTGTGACCACTTCTCAATGGCTCCTCATCACCCTCAGGACAGAGTTGACTCTCTGCCTGCCCACAGAGCGTTTCTGTAGTCTAGCCAGACAGAGGAACCACAAATGTTTGAGAATGATTTGAGGGTGGGAGAGGGAGGAAAAGAGTGAAGGAGAGAGGAAGGGAGGAAGGAAAAAGGAAGAAAGGAGAAAGAGAGAAGAAACAGAGAAAGAAAGAAGGAGAAAGAAAGAGAAAATGAAGGGAGAAAGGAAAGAAAAAAAGAAAAGAGAGAAAGAGGAAGGAAGGAAGAGAAAGAAAAAGAAAATTCTGTTCCATCCTGAGCTTTAAGAGAGGTCTGGTGGCTGTCTCCTCTCACTCGCTGCAGTTTAGAGCAGGTGACTTCACTCTCGTTCTCTTCATCTGGTGGAAGGGGCACCACCACTCTCCCCTTCCAGTGAGGTGTGAGGTAGATGAGATCTGAGAGACTGAACACAGCAGGTGCTCATGGGTGCTAATTCCTTTTCCTCCCTCTCCCAGAGCCTGTCAAGGGGCAGTGAACTTGGAGTGAGGCTAAATAACGAACCAAGGTATTTTTTAATTGGGGTAAAGAGGAGGTCTCACCTCCTGTGGAGTGGGAAGCAGGGCTTCTGGAGTCCTAGACCATTTGGGTCTGTGCTGACGAGGAAGTCAGGAGAGAAGGGAAAAGAAGGAATTTGGGGAGCTCAAATGGGGAGTGGAGGGTGCTGGTTTCTTTCCAGCTGTTCCTCAAGAGCTCTGCCCAGCTAGATGTCTCAGATTTGGGGTCTGAGCACCTTAGGGCAGCCTCAGTTTTCCCAAGATGCTCCCCTCTGGGAGGTCGAAGAAAAAGCAGCCCAAGAAGAAAGGATAGATAGCAGTTTGCTTCTGCCCTAACAGCCCTCAGTGCTGCCCACCCAGTCACCCCACTCAGATCCAGGAAGCAGCCCTGACTTTCCCCCAGGGATCCCCGTGTGACCGCCACACCTGCTGCCCGGCAGGTGGAACCGTCCCCTGAACCCAAAACCCTTCCCTAGCAATGTTGGCTAGTGGTGGGAAGGGGTCGCTGGCACCAGAGCCCAGCAGCCCAGGTTCAACTTCCAGCCTCACCTTGTTGCTGCGTACTGTTGTCTTTCCTTAGTTTCTTCCCTAAGTCCTTCCAAAAATTCTCTCAGCTGATGCCCTGAACAGGGGAAACAAATCTTATTTTAGCTCCTTTTTTATAGCATATGTTATTGACTTCATTTCTCCTAGTAGAAAAGTAATGTGTATTCACTATAGAATACATTAAAAATATAGACATTATAAAGAAAGAAATAAGGATCATGATCCTGTCATCTGGTCAGGGCTACCATCAACATCAATATTTTCTTTTTTTTTTCTTTTTTTTTAGTCAGAGTTTGGCTTGCCCAGTCTGGAGTGCAATGCCATGATCTTGACTCACCACAATCTCCGCCTGCCAGGTTCAAGCGGTTCTCCTGCCTCAGCCTCCCTAGTAGCTAGGATTACAGGCATGTGACACGGCGCCCAGCTGGTTTTTTGGTTTGTTGTTGTTGTTGTTTTGCATTTTTAGTAAAGACAGGATTTCTCCATGTTGATCAGGCTGGTCTCAAACTCCCAACCTCAGGTGATCCGCCCCCTTCCGCCTCCCAAAGTTCTGGGATTACAGGCGTGAGCCACCGCACCTGGCGTGTTTGGAATATTTTCTTCTGAGAGCTTTCTCAGTGTCCATATATAGCCCTGGAATTGTACCTACAGATAGAATTTCATTTGCAGATTCCTCCACTATTATATGAAGAGTGGGAAAAAGAGATTAGGGGAGTGGAAAGAGCAGTCTTTGCGGTTACACAGACTGCATAAATTCCAACTCCATGCTTTACCACGTGTGTGAGACTGGACCTCAGCTCCTAGTCTGTAGAATGGGGATGGCAACTGCGCCACTCACAGCAGAGAATGGTCATAGCTCCGCCCTTGATGCCAAGCCCCGCCCCCAGAGGGGAGGAGGCAGCTGGGAGCCCTGGGCTGGGGAGACCTCGTGTATCAGCCACCTTAGCAGCTCCCCCTGTTCCCATCCAGGACTAGACCTGTCAGAAACTAGTGGGTGGAGAGCTTAGAAAGGAGGAGCCAAGACACCCAGCTGCCCTCCGGCCCAACCACTCACTATGTGTTGTCCTCCAGCAAGTCACCAGGCCTCTTGGAACCTCTGCTGTGGAATGAGAGGATTGTGCTCTAGCAGCATTTCCTAAGCAATGTTTCTAGGTCTAAGAAAGGAAGAGTCTGAGGTCGAATGCTGGACAAGCACAGTTAAATGTTTCTTAGCTGCAGGACTTTTCAGAGCCTTTGATGTCAGAGGAGAATGCATTGTGGGGAGTTGCCAGACTTATCATAGATGCCCCTTTTTTACCCCAAGATACCTAAAGGGAATTGAGTGTGGTTGGGGTTGGGGAGGCCTGATCCCAGAGTTCTCTGCAGCCCTTGTTCCTTGCTACTCTCCTCCCATTTTTCAGGCCCAGCCTAACTCCACAGCTCAAAGCTCCCTGTTCACAGCACACACTTCTTATCTCCCTCCTTGGAAAGCCAGTCAGTTCCTTCCTCCCTGCCTTCCCCTCTTCCCCTGGTTAATTCCTAGAAAAAACTCAGTTATAGCAGCCGCTCCTACAGGAAGCCCTCCCTGACTTCCAGGCTGGTCAGACCCTGCCTCTACTCCCACAGTCCCAGTTGGACTTCTACCAAAGCTCACGACACACTGCCCAGTACCAGGCTATTCCCCAAGGCAGGCTGCCACCACCCTGGGGCTGGCCAGGACAGGCCCAGCTCTGCTTCCTCTCTGTATCCCAATCCCCAGCAAAACAATGGCACCCATATTCTGGAGCTGTCACTGATGAATAAAGGCAGCTGTGCTTGGTGAGGAGAGGAGTGGTCAGGTGGGGAGTCAGAGCCTCCATGGCCTCAGGTACACCCATGAGGATAGTCCTTGGTTTCTGGCCTGAGGCTGAGCTGGTGGTCTGTTACCTGCAGTGTCGGACGGACACACATACAGCCGCTCAAGCCGCAGGATGCGCTACGCCTGCAGCTCCTCGGAGGACTGGCCCCCACCCTTGGACATCAGCTCTGACGGGGATGTGGATGCCACAGTGCTCAGGGAGCTGTACCCAGATTCTCCACCAGGGTAAGGAAGCCACGTGGGCAAGGGGGGCATCAGAGTGTGGGGCCCTGGAAACACAGACCCCCTCCCATCATGGGAAACAGTGGCACCTTTCCACATAGTATAAATGCAGAAGACATCTGCTCAGTGGGCACAGCCACCTCCTCCCTGCTCCTGACCAAGTAGGTCCCATTGAGGCAGTGTGACTTAGCAGATGTCACCTGGAAGTGCTTGAAAAGGAAGAGACAAGCCCAGCTCCTCAGACTGCTGAGCAGGTGTGCCAGGAATGCCCTTGCAGTTTCTGGGGAGGTTCCGTGGCAGCTGTCCTGAGCTCGCTGAGGATCTGCTCCTCCGGGTGTCTCCCTGGATGTGGGAGGGAAATTCACTGTGCTTCTATAAATAACACCAGGGACTAGGGCAGCAAATAGGGGACGAGCCCATATCCTGACAGCTGATGGCCCCAGGTGCACTCGCTCTGGAAATTCCTTCTTGTGTGATCATGAGCAAGTTACTTAATCTTGCTGTGCCTGCTTCTCCATTGTTGAAATGAAATGAAATGTCATTGTTGAAATGCCCCACGAGACTCATGAAAATGACACAGAAGTGCCCGTAAAATGCTCAGCAAGGCACTGCCTCTTCTCACCAGTGGTGTCGTTACTATTTCGAAGCCACAGGTGATAAACTGTCCATGCTGAGGAGGATGAGGAGAGGGGATCAGGGAGGATGGGCTGACACAGGAAATCAGCCTTTGTTGAGGTGTGTGAGGTGCTTGGGTTGGGAGGAACTGGGACCTTCAGAGATGCAGAGGAGGATGTCACCAGCAGAGGGCACAGATGAGCAAAGGCCCGGAGGCAGCCTCGCTTTGGAGGGCACAGTTGGGTTTGACCTCCTCTCCCTTTCCCCTTCCCTGGCTTTGCAGTCAGACCTGCCTGGGTTTGAGCCCTGGACGCTGGCCAGGTTGATGCCTTCGGGCATGTCACTGTGGCTCTCAGGGGCCCCATTTCTTTATGAAATAGGGACAAATAACCCTGCTTCCTGGGTTTTCCTGGGGAGGAAGAAGATACTGTGGGTGTCTGGAGATGTGGCTTAGGGTTACCCTTGGCTCCTAAGGCCATGGCCTGAGGACACAGGCACCTCCCCCAACCCCCAGGAGTCCAGCCTGTAGGGAAAGGGCCAACTGGGCCCCAGAGACCAGGAGCTGGGCCCCAAGGAGGCTGCCTTTACCCAGTGTGGCTCATCTAAAGGACAGGAACAGGTGGGGCTGCTTCTGATGGAGATGGAGGTGCACAGATGCCCTGGGGGTGCCTGAAGCAGACTTCTCCCTGAGCCAGAACAGAGCGTTGGGTTGGCCTCAGGTAGGAGAGCCATCCCCGCTACAGGCCTCCATTGTGGTCAGGCACCTCCCCCAAGGTGGGTTGGGGTCAGGGCTGGGACAGGTTGGGCAGACCTGAGGCAGGGGTGGGGAGGGGTGAGGAAGGTGGGGCCATGGCTGGGAAAACAGGGGTGATTTCCCCCCAAACACACACACATATGCACACATGCACACATGAACACACACACACACACCTGCTGAGACCTCCCAGGAGACGGGTCTGGCTGAGCCTGGGGCCGTTGTGGCCTCACCTGCAGCCACCAAGGCAGAGACTGGCCTTGGGGATTGAGGGTTTCTCTCAGAGAAGCTGGGTTCACGGAGCCAGAAGGAGGGAAGTTATGCCCTCAGTTATGTCCTGGGGACCCCAGAGACAGTGGCAGTGCAAAGAGAAAGGGACAGATGGAGCTTGTGGCCAGGAGGAACCTGTGCCTGCAATCATGCCCACAGCAGTGGCTGTGTCCAAACTGCCCTCAGGGCCCTCAAGCAGCCCCTCCCCATGGGGAGCTCTTCTCTGGGGGCCCTTTGGTCTACTCCTGCCAGCCGCCACCAGGCAGACCACCCGTCAGTACCTGAAGAGGGAAAAGGGTCAGGGCCTCCACCATTCCCTGCTAGGAGACCCCCAGCCCTGTGCCCCCCTTGCCCTTCCACTTTCACCCCTGCCCCAGGAGCATGGGCAAGGGTGGTGCTGCCAGTCCTTTCCAGGGCAGTGGGTGCTTTTTGGCTCTGCATCTGTGGGTTCAGAGGGGCCCCGGGACTCTTTCCTAAACCTAGAAGGGGAACTTTGGAGTGGCTGGAGACCAAGGGGTGTCTGGCAGCCTGAGGTTGGTCCTACCCAGCCTCCACACACCCAGTGCACTGCAGGGAGAGGCTCACTAGACTGTGACCGCTGCTGTTTCGAGGCACTGGAGACTCGGCCATTCTGTGTTGAGTTCATGCTGCACATGAGGGCTGAGTCAGGTCCCAAATCCAGGAAGTAGAGCGAGGTAGTAGTTTCACTGGAGCCAGCGTGGACAAGGCTCACCTGGCCCACAGCCAGGACAGCTTGTCACTGAAGAGACACCCCCCCCCCCAGGCCTTTGGGAGAGACCCAGCCCTAAGGCCTAAGCGGGACACTGAGGGAGCCTCTTCTCTTGTAGCTACGAGGAGTGTGTGGGGCCAGGGGCTACTCAGCTATATGTCCCCACGGACGCACCGCCACCCTACTCGCTGACCGACTCCTGCCCCACACTGGATGGCGCCTTCGACTCAGGCAGCGGCCACAGCCCTGGCCAACACCAGCAGGAGCAGAGGAGCCCAGGCCAGAGTGGCCTCCGCACGGTCTCCATGGACACCCTGCCCCCCTATGAGGTTGTGTGTGGGGCTGGCCCCCCATCGGGCCTGCTTCCACTGCCGGGCCCAGGACCAGGGCCAAGGGGCTCACAGAGCTCACCCACCCCAACCCGGTCCCCAGCTTCCGGCCCAGAGACGATCGTATGAGGGACCCAGCTGGCAGGGTACTGCCGGTCCCTATGGGCTGAACCACGTTCTTTAGGCACACAAAGGTGTGCACATATACATACAGAGAGATGCACATGTGACTCATACACACATAGACCAAACTTGTATACACACAGACAACTACACTGACATACCCCATGCACACCCACAGATCTAGACATGCCCCACATGTGTACACACATGCACGCAAACAGGCCCGCCACAAACACAAAACCCACCTGCAAAGGTTTCATGGAACACGGAGCTCTCTTGACCTCCCCTCCCTCCTCCCAGCCTGTGGGTTGTGCCTCTGTAGACAGTGCTGTGAGGAGAGAGGTGACATAGGAAGTGGGACTTTCCCTTCCCTCTCCGGGCCCATTTGCCCCTATCCTCACCTAGCAAGCTGTGCCCAAATTCTGATTCTGCCTCTGGAAATTGCTGGACCATCCAAGGTCAGCTGTCTGATCCCTGCCCAGGGCCAGCTCGTACTCCTGGTAGGTGGGACAGGCCCCAGTGAGGTTCCCCTGTGCACTGTGCCTATCTCTCGATTTCAGGGCAGAAGAGCCCACCATATCACCACCCTGCCACTTACAAGGTGGGGGAGCCGGGTCTGGGGGCTCAGGTGCAACCTGGAGGCCTCACAGCCCACCGGGCCCCCTCCCAAGCCTGGTACCCTCAGTCAGGTGGTGCTAGTGGAGCTATCTCTGAAGTTGCAGGCCCCAGGTAGGTAGGCAGGGCCCTCCGTGGGTGTGCAGCAGCTGTTCCCTCATCTGTCCAGCCACTGCCCAGGACTGAGGGTCTTCAAGGAAGATGAGGCCATTGCTCTTCTCCAGGTGGCTTCACCGCAGTGCTGCCTGGGCACCTCTCTGAAGCAGAGAAGTGGCCCCTTGCTCAGTCCCTGTCCAGCCGACCACTGTGGCCTGCAAGCAAATGGGTCGGAGCCAAACCCCCGAGCTGGTGCTGTCCTCCTAGGTGGCCGCTCATAGCTGGGGATGGTGAGTGGATGTGTTCTGGCCTTGCCCACGTGGGTGTTTGCAGAGACAACATGAAGGGGATATGCTCCCCATCAATACCACCTTATCACCACAGGAGGACCAGTAGGCTACTCCGCCTTGCTGCCATGGAAGGGAATTTGTAGGGTCAGCCTGGCTGTAGAAAGGCTGGCTCAGATCTTGGCTGAGAAACCCCAGAGATTTCCATCAAAGATCACGCAGGTCATGGAGGTGATTCCCGAAGACCCAGCCCACCGAGGGTGGCAGCCACACGTCTTTGAGGAGTGTCCCCACCAGCATCGCCAGCGGCCATCACCCTGCCTCCCTCCCACCTCTCATCCCCCATCGAAACAACAGCACCCTACCCAGCCTCCCCACATTTCCATTCCTCCAATGAAGGGCTAAGACGATTTAATAATCTTTCTCAAGAGGGTGGCAAGGATGGCGATCTTGAATTTTATTTTCTGTAGAGAGAGCATTTTTTTTGGAGCGGAGCTGAAAGAAACCCACCCAGAGGCTCTGTAGCATCCTGCGTGCAGCCTCCCTGGAGCCCCAGACTCCAACTGGGGGAGGGGCTTGTTTACAAGCTGTACTGACCACCTTAGCGGTGTACTGTTTTCTAGGCAAAAAATATCTGTCTGTTGTACTGTATAGCCTTTAAAATGCACTCCAGGAATGAGACTCTTTCAAGAAACACATCCTGCTTCTGCAACTCTAGAGAGTGCTGGGGGGCGGGAAAGGATAAAAATTCCTACCGACTAGTCAGTGTTTGAAGGATGGAGCTGAATAGCTTTTCTTGTTCCTGGACTAGGCAAGCAACAATGTACCTTTCCTGTGTTCAAAATAAATGTATCATATCAATAAAATGTAGCAAGAAGTAACACTCTGAGAGAGTGCATAAGGGTTTGTTTTGGTTGTTTTTTTTCTTCAGACAAGGACTCACTCCACTCACTTGCCTAGGCTGAAGTGCAATGGCGTAAACATAGCTCACTGTAGCCTTGAACTCCTGGATTCAAGTGATCCTCCCACCTCAGCCTCTGAAGCAGCTGGGACTACAGGCATGTACCACCACACCCTGCTAATTTTTTATTTTTAACTTTGTGAAGACAGGGTCTCACTCTGTTGCCCAGGCCAGTCTCAAACTCCTGGTCTCAAGTGATCCTCTCACCTCAGCCTCCTGAATAGGGTTTATACCTTTTGAAACTTGTAAGGAAAAGAAACACTAAATCGCAACAAAAATACACCTCCGGCGAACAATCCCTACCCATTACCTCTCAAGATTAAGCATCACTGGAGCCTTGTTATTTCCCATTTGATGAGGGTATCTGGATAGTCAGTGCTTTACAGGAGTCACCTTTTTTTTTTAACCGCACTGCAAGTTGGCATCATTTCTCTGAGACACGGGTGGTTTAATGTCACGAGGATGGGCCGTCAGCATCAGGACCTCTACGAACTTCAGAGACTGCATGTTTTACTCTAGCAGTGGCTGCTTGTAGCACCCTGATGGTTTGTACTATCAGGAAAGAGAGGAAAATGGCAATGAGACTGAAATGAGCTGCCGTCTCACCCTCGGCAGGAATTCCCCTCTTCCTTTCCATGCCCTCCACAAGACCATGGCTTTGGTTATTGATCTCAGCAGACAGAGCCTGGACCCCTTCCTCTGTCATATTTCCCTCCCATCAGAACCGAAATAGAACCCACTAGTCCTAGACCCCCAAGTGCCTTGAAAGTGGGGTGTAATGCAAAACTCAAATGGCCTATTAACATAGTCCTAGATCCCCCAGATGCCTTTAAAGCGGGGTGCAGTCCCAAAGGAGGGTGCAGCAGGGGGAAAGACTGTGAGATAGGCTCATCCTTCTGGTTCTTCAGCCCATGTCCCTGCTGGACAGGCCAAGGCTGGCTCTGCCACGCCCACCAACCCCACTCTGAGCACACACTGCCACCTGCTGGCTCCCTGCTGCCACTGTTGAAAGTGAACAAGTCAGGCCTTGAAAAATGAGGAAGCCCCCTTCTCACCTTGAAACATGCTACCCACCAACACTCATAATTGCAGACAAAACCCGTTATTTTGATCCTGGGCTTTTTCTTCCACCTTGAGATGTTCCATAAGGTTTTACTCATTCAAGTATTCCATTTTCAGAGCTAACCCCTGCACCACCAGCAATTCTCTCTGGACAGAGCCTGACACTTCTGTCCCCCTCTCTGTATGCAAAATGACCACTCCTCTGTTCTGAACACCACTAGGCATGGCTCTGGTGCCACCTCCGTGCTCCGGGGCTCCATCTCCTGGGAATTAATGAGAAACTTCCACAGTGATGGTGTCCAGCCACATGCTGCCCCCAACCTAAACCATCCCACACCAACACCCCACTCCCACCGCAAAGACTCAGGATCCCACAGACCTTTGGGACTGTCCTGCTCTTGGCTTTTCCTGCTCCTCTATCCATGCCATGCCCTGTGCTGTGGTGTGTCGCATATGGCACCACATTCGAGGTCCTTTGCGCATTCCTAAGGAGATGCCTCCTATCTGTGCCAGGGGCCAAGGAGAGCACCCTGGGTACCCAGGCTCACCAGAGGCCCAAGGAGATGGAAGGAGAAGGTGCATCACAGGACAGTGGGGACAGGGGCGTCAGGGCAAGACCCTGGGATGAGGATGTGGGTGTGAGGGTTTGGTAAGGGAGGTGATCCCAGGAGTGCCAGATAGAGTGAGACAGGAAACAAGGAAGGCAAGGAAGCCAGTAAGGGGTTCACCAAGAGGGTCACCACTGCAGGCCACTGAGCTCAGTCCCACTGGTGACTCTGAGAGACAGAGCAGAACGAATCCTTGAAGTGAGCCCACCTTAAGATGGAGGAGATGGGTCGTTTGTACCCTGACGCTCAGCAGACCTTTTGGGAGGCTGCCCTTTGGAGAATGTTCATTCCTGCCCCTGTGGAGACAAAACCTGCACACAGGTGGGTACATTCGGGCATGGCACATGCACATACACATGCCCTTAGTCGTTCCTCACTGGGATCCCAACAGAGGGCATCCTTCTCCAACCGGGCCTTCTCTGTGCAGTGGCAGGTGTCACTAACCCAGGGACAGCCCCTCAGGCTTCCCATCTGTGAAATGGGAAATATTAAATAGGTGAAGATCCCTTCAGGGCACACAGCAGGTGCTTAATGAATGTTGGTACCTGTCTTTGCTCTCCCTGAAACTGAGCATATAACCACACCACTTTCAGTCCTTAAGACCAAGGAGGGGCCACAGGCTAGATGGATTTAAAAGCTGTGACTCCATCTCCATCCTAGTCAGAGAGAGCCATCCACTAAGATAGCCCCTACACAGGCTTTCTGAGACACACATCAGGAAGCAGCAGGCACTGGGAAGCCCAGGGCATGCTACTTAATACCCACTCCAACTATCCATCCAACTATCCATCCATCCCTGCCTCCCACCCTCCCTCCCTCTCTTTATCCATCTATCTATCCTTCCTTCCTTCCATCCGGCCATCCGTCCATCCAACCATCCATCCCCACCTCCTACCCTCCTTTCCTCCCTCAATCCTTACTTCCTTCTATCCAGCCCCTCATCCATTCAACCATCCATCCATCCACCATCCATCCAACTACCCACCCACCGTTCCTAATCACTTAGTACAGCATCTGACAGCCCACAATTAAGCTGGAGAGCTGTCAGGGTATGCAGTATTATGGGGCAAGCAAGGGAGCAACACCCCAGCCACAAGCCTCCATCAGGAACATCAAAAACAAGTGGGGCCAGGGGCAGTGGCTTATACCCGTAATCCCAACACTGGGAGGCCAAGGTGGGAGGATCACTTAAGCCCAGGAGTTTGAGACCAGCCTGGACAACATAGTAAGACCTTATCTCAACAAAATAATTTTTTTTAATTAGTCAGCCATGTAGTCCCAGCTACTCAGGAGGCTGAGACGGGAGGACTGCTTGAGAGATTAAAGAGCTCACATCAGCTTAATTTTCTGCACAAGATTTTAATTCATGTATTCATGAATTGAAGAGCTCAAGGTTGCAGTAAGCCATGGTCACACCAATTCACTCCAGCCTAGGTGACAGAGTGAACCCTGTCTTTTAAAATAAAAATAAATAAGTGGAAAAAAAAAAAAGGCAGACCTTGAAGCAGAGCAGGTCAGCAATCTCAGGAGAAGGATGAGGCAAGAGGCTGCCTCAGCTTGGAACCACGATGGCCACTCCAAGGCATATCCCCCAGGGTACCTGACCTGCAGCAAAGGAGCCTGGAAGAGCAACTTAGGCCTAGGATTCCAGGGGCAGGCCAATTATTTTCTTTCTTTTCTGACCATTAACATAATAAGCATGCTTATCCCCAAACCAAAACAGAGCTTTTGCTCTCTCCAGTAAGCCTGCTCCTCCCGCATTCCCCGTCTGGGTAAATGAGTCCATCTACTCACTCAAATCCAATGCAGATGTCATCCTTGACCTCTCTCTTGCGCGCGCGCGCTCTCTCTCTCTCTCTCTCTCACCCTCGCCCTTGCCCCACATCCTTCGTCCAATTCCTAGCTCCTTTCATAACAGAGTCTGAATCTGACCCCTTCCCACCTCCTTCCACGGTAACCAAATTCACCATCATCTCTCCCATCCCTGGAGGCTGCCAGCCTTCTGTAGCCTGTGCTCCACCCGAATGCCGAATGCCAGAGGATTCTGTTAAAACCTACATTAGGGCTGTGCATGGTGGCTCATGCCTGTAATTCCAGCACTTTGGGAAGCGGAGGTGGGAGGACTGCTTGAGTCCAGGAGTTTGAGACCAGCCTGGGCAACACAGAAAGACCCCATCTCTATGTATTAAAAAAAATTTTTTTAATGTAAAAAAACAAAATCATACATTTGATTATGACCCTCATCTCATCTGTTCAGTTCCCTCCAGGGATGCCTGAAGCCATATCAAGTCCCAGGCTCATCCCCTCACTTCCCCTCTGAACTCACCTTGGGTCCCTTCCCTATTGTCTACTATAGCCAAAACCACCCAGGCTTCTGCTAGGTTCTGGAACATGCTGAGCCTGGCTCTATTCCCAGCCTCTGCACAAACTGTACCCTCTGCTCTGTCCCCCTACCCCACCCTGCCATCTTCTCTTTCTTGTTATTCACATTTCCCCTTAAATTTCACCTTCTCAGAGAGGACCCCTCTGACCAACCATCTCTCTATCACATCAGCTTAATTTTATGCACAAAGATTTTAATTCATGTATTCATTTACCCCCATTAGAAGATAAGCTCCATGAGAGATCAACTTCATCTTGTCTCATTCACCACTATTTCCAAGCATCCATCATATTAAACCATCAAATGAGTAGAAAACTTAGAAAGTACAGATATGAAAACAAAAGCAAACATTACCATCATTTCCACTATTCAGAGATACCTAACGTTACTATGTTTATGCAATTCCTCCGGTCTTTCTTCCATATACACATATATTAAAATATTGAGACTGTAATATTTATAGTATTGTGCTCTACCTTTATTTCCCATGAAGGGCGTTAACTAATTTTAGACCAAGAGAAAGTTGCAAAATAGTACAAAGAACTCCTTTCCACCCCTCACCCTGTTTCTCCTGAAGTTGACATCTTATGTAACCATAGTACAATGATCAAAAACAGGAAATTAATACTGATACAATGTTATTAACTATACTACAAACCTAATATTTAAGTTTCCCCAATGGTCCATTAATATATTCTCTCTATTCCAGGAGCATATACTGGATCCCACGTTGCACTGAAGTTGACATCTTATGTAACCATAATATAAATGATCAAGAAGAGGAAATTAATATTGATACAATGTTATTAACTACACTACTAACATTGTTTAAGTTTCCCAGTGTTCTGTTAATATCCTTTCTCTATTCCAAGAGCCTATACAGGATCCCACATTGCATTTGTATATTTTCCTTTGTCTCCCCAGTTTGTAATAGTTACTTAGTTTTTGCCTCATCTAACATGACCTTGATGCTTTTAAAGAGTTTTTAAAAATCAGTTATTTTGTTGAATGTCCCTCCATTTGAGTTTGTCTGGTGCTTTCTTATTACTGGAGTCAAGTATGCATTTCTGGCAAGAATACCACACCAAAAAAAAAAAAAAAAAAAAAAAGTTGCTGCCAGGCGTGATGGCCCACACTGTAATCCCAGCACTTTCAGATGCCAAGGCAGGCAGATCACGTGAGCTCAGGAGTTCGAGACCAGCCTGAGCAATGTGACAAAAGCTCTACTCTACAAAAAATACAAAAATTAGCCAGGCCTGCTGGCACACACCTGTAGTCCCAGCTCCCCAGGAAGCTGAGGAAGATTACCTGAGCCCAGGCTACAGTAAGCTGTGATTGCACTACTGCATTCCAGCCTGGGCAACAGAGCGAGACCGTCTCGAAAGAAAAAAAATATGATGCTGTGCCCTTCTCAGAGCATCTTCTTAAAGACTTCATGATGTCCTATGTCTTACTACCTTGATCGCTTATTAAGCTGGTGTGTATAGGGTTCCCATCTCCACTGTTAAATTACTTTCCCTTTTTACTTGATAAATATATTGGGGGAAATACTTAGAAACTATGCAAATCTTGTTTCTCCTCAAACTTCTGTCCACTAATTTTCATACTGACAGGTAAACCCTGTCTGTGATATTTTTAACTGTGGTGTTTGTGTAATGGCAAATCTGTTTCCCTTTTACACGTATTAACTGGATTCTTTATAAGGAAGCACTCCTTTTCTTCCCTACTTATTTCTTCAATTATTTATATCAGCATGGATTCGTGGATATTTAGTCTATGTGTTAAAATCCAGTACTATCACAATTTATTTTGTTCCTCAAACTGTTCCAGCTTTGGACATTAGGAACTTCAGGCAAGCTCCTAAATTCACTTGACATGGTTCCATTGTCCCCCCATCCCCCACACTTTCTTTCTGGCAACACAAGATATTCCAGGCTCATCTTGTCACTCCCGTGTGGCATCTCTGGAATCAACCACATCTCCTAGGAGCCCTCGTTCCTTCTACAGGAGAATGGTGTTTAGAGACCAAGATCTGGGTAGCAGGTGTGCTCACTGTTACCAGGTGTCATCACTTCTAGATCCACTCAAGACAGAGCTAGGAAACACAGGTATGTGTACTAAGCACACATAAACACACACATACATCTGTATTTCCATATTTGTCTATACATAGTATTTATTATTTGTTTAGAGACAGGGTCTTGCTTTGTTGCCCAGGCTGGAGTGCAGTGGTACAATCACAGCTCTCTGCAGCCTTGAACTCCTGGGCTCAATCTATCCTCTCACCTCAGCCTCCCAAGTACAGGAGCACACCATCACACTTGGCTAATTTTTGTAATTTTTGTAGAGATGGGGTTTTGCCACATTGCCCAGGCTGATCTCTTAACTCCTGGGCTCAAGCAATTCACCCACCTTGGCCTCCTGAAGTGCTGGGATTACAAATGGGAGCCACCACAGCCTAATATTTCTAAATCATGAGTTTATACTGACACCTCCTATTCTAATCCAGCACCACAGGGTTTATTCTAGGCCCCTCTCTATTATTTGTAACCTCTTTCACTAACAGTAAGAAATCCAGCCCTCATAGTCTACAATCTATTTACTTGTTTGTTCAACTTTAGTATACATAGTTTCAGAATTACTAACCTATACTCCTGTGAGAAACACTTTTTTATTTTGCCCATTGCAACTTCTACCTCCTGGGTTCAAGCAATTCTCATGTCTCAGCCTCTTGACATAGCTGGGATTACAGACGTGCACCACCACGCCCAGCTAATTTTTGTAACTTTAGTAGAGACAGGGTTTCAGC